GCATGCTGTGTACATTCTATCTAACTAATAGTACGGTCTTCGCTATGGTGTGGGGAAGAAATCCCACAGTTCTCATAAAATTCTGCAATATATGTGGATCATGCTATATACGTTATAGAAAACATTAATAAATTGACGGATGCGATGTTTTATGAATGAACATTTCACTATCGTAAAAATTCTCATAATTAGAAATGTTTGTCAAACTCGGATATAGCATGCCTTTTTTAACATTTTGAGGAGGCGTATTTTGCTAGCAAAAGAGTACAAGCAAGAATAATAGGCAAAAGTAGCTTGTGTAGTCCCACGTGGGTTTTGGAAACCCGAGTCTTCTGTTTTACGGGACTGGTGGGATTTGGGGGTTTATGGGTGAGGGAAAGGATTGGTAGTGAAGAATGCGTGGGCAAATAGGCATGAAAAGTCGGTAAATGTAATTGAATGTGTTAATTTCGGGCGCTATATAGTGGCGGCGTAGACCGCGCAAATAGAAAAATGTGAGATTTTAGCGTTAAAATAAACTTGGGGACTTGAATAAACTGTTATGAGTGAATTGTAGCAGGTCAGAAATCAGCGTAAGCGGTAGTCTATGGGATTCAAGGTTACCGGTATGCAAACGAGAAACGTGCGTGTATTATCGATATAAGCATGAGCGAAAGAAGAGAAATGTAAGGAGATGACATTGTATGGGGAAATAGCTTTAATTTTGGATTGAAAGATGATGAGAAGGAGATAAACAAGTGGATAAGTCCCGGAAGCACGATTGTGACGAATGAGTGGAAGGCATATAAGTGAAAGTGAAGGATACGGCCATTTTACTGTAAATCACTCGTCATTTTTGGGATCCGATGACCAAGCGCCATAAGAATGCAATAGAAGCCTACTGGAGTAGGTTGAAGAGGAAGCTTCGCGACGGAAGACCCGTAGCTGGGCTTGCCGTGTAGTCTCATGTTGATGAAATACAACACCGGCTCTGGTTCAGTCTTCACAATATGGATTTAGAAACAGCGGGGAATTTATTTTTAAGCCATGTGGTAGCAGTATACCCATTAGAGAGCGGAAGAAGAGAAACGTGTGATGAAGATGGAGATGTAATGTGATTTCATCGGAATCTGCCAGTGGATATGACTGCTGATGTGGCAGTTTGCCAAGAAATGAAGGATGAAAATGAGAACGCTGCAAAGGCCCTCTTTAGGGCCACTGCCCATGATTGTTGATGATAGCTGTTGTCTGACTTTCATTTAGAATGGGGTCAGTAAAGAAAAATGTGGCTTATGGCAGGGAAGGTTCGTGAAGTATTGGGCGTACGAGTACATTTTCGACGAAGTGCACATGTACTAGTTTGTTTGTAGTTATGGTGGGTGCATATAATGTTAGGACGTTAGCCTGACCAAGTACTAGCAACAGTTGAAGGCTTTCCTGAGGCGTCGAGGCTAGCCAAGTGTCTTTGTTTGTTAGCTCTGACCGCATACAGGCGATGACTAT